CAGTTAGTACTGCAGTCTATCTTCATACACGTACTCCCTCACAGTCTATTGACAGAGTAACTCTTTATGAGAAGTTAAAGGGCAAGAAGCCGGAGTTGGGGCACTTGAGAAGATTTGGATGTGCCGCCTACAAGGGTATTCCTAAAGAACTGAGAAAAGGGAAGTTTTCAGAGCGATTAAAGGAGTGTATCTTTTTGGGCTACGTATGTGATACTCGCAAGATTTGGAGACTGTGGGATCTACAGAGTAGCTGTGTGATTGAGGCTTCAAATATTGTGTTTGATGAGCTCCGAGTCTTGGGAACTCGTGATGAGCATGAAAGTGAGGTTGAGATTCTAGGCTCTTGTATATCAGAGGATTTACCCCCGGAGGAGGACTCAGAGGTGTCAAGCCCACCTGGAGTACTGTTGAGCATGCAGGCACTGCTAGCTCTAGAAGAGGTTGCTGGTCTCGTTAAACAGACAGTGCATGCTCCCCCGCGTATATGGGCGGAGGACTCTTGGTTTAAAGGGACCTATGAGTGTATTAATTCTGATCTTGAGACTAAGCTCGATCAGTCCACACTCTGTCTGGTGACGACAGTTGACAGGTGTGAAGAAGCATCTCCTACTGGGAGTCTAAGTCTTGAAGAACCCTCCCAAGTCCCCAAGATTGTAAATTTGCGCAGATCTCAAAGAGTCGCAGTAAAGGGGCACCCCAGTGCTCATTCCGCTGTTCATGTGATGATGGGGTTAGAGGCAGTTGATGACATCGAAGGGGAACCGATTAGCTACCGTGATTCCCTGAGGTCAGGGTACTGCTTGGAATGGAAAACAGCCATGCGGGAGGAGTTCAAGTCCCTAGAGGATAATGAGACGTGGTCTATTATCAGGAAATCTAGTGTGGGGCATGGCATACATCCTATTGGATGTAAATGGGTGTATAAAAAGAAAAGGAATCCTAATAGATCTATACGCTTTAAGGCGCGTCTTGTCATAAAAGGCTATGAGCAGCAGATATTTGGTGAGACCTTTGCTCCCGTTACACGGCTAACAAGTGTAAGACTAGTTCTGGCTCTCGCTATATTCAATAGGTGGGAGATTCATCACCTTGATGTTTGTACGGCATTTCTCAATCATATCTAGAGGATACCGTCTATATGGAAATGCCAGAGGGTATTGAGTGGCTCAAGCCAGCTTTAGTTCCAGATTACCAGGACTCTATTCTTAGGCTCAACAAGGCACTCTATAGTCTAAAGGAGGCGCCTCGCTTATGGTACTAGCATATTGATAGTTATCTTGAATCCATTGGCCTTGAGAAATCCAGCAACGATCCAAATCTCTATTATACCAAGGACCGAGCCTTGTTCCTAGTGCTTTATGTTGATGACATTCTACTTGTATCTAGATCTCTAGATCTTATTACCGATGTCAAGGCCAAGCTTTCCGGAAAGTATAAGATGAAGGATCTTGGACCGGCCAAACAGTTCCTAGGATTGGAAATCACTACAGGCTAGGACCATCTGTTTCTCCATCAGCAGCGCTTTATTCGGACTATTCTGAGCCAATTTGGAATGGCTGGCTGCAATGGCATTTCTACTCCGCTGGAGATAAAGAAACTTGTTCCTTCAACACCAGAATGCTACAAGAGAAACCAAGCAGAATATCAATCAATCCTACACTCCTTGATGAATCTCGCTATTGGTACAAGGCCAGATATCTCTTACGCAGTAGGTATACTCAGTAAGTTTAGTGTAAACCCTAGTGCTCTTCATCTTGCTGCGACAAAAAGACTACAGCGTTATATCAAGGGTACAATGCACTTAGGTCTCTGCTATCACCTTGGTTCCATCCAGGATATTGATGGATTTTGCGATTCGGACTTTGCTGGTGATTCCCAGGATTCAAAGTCCACTTCCGGCCATGTATTTACCCTAGCTAGAGCGTCCATTTCCTGGACGTCAAAGAAACAAAGTCTAGTAGCACTTTCATCTACGGAGTCAGAATATGTTGGATACTCCGAGGCCTCCAGAGAGGTTATTTGGCTCAAATGCCTCTACCATGAGATTACCGGTATGGACTACAAACTACAAAGGCTTCTTTACGACAACAAAAGTGCACTTCAACTTATTGAACAGCCAAGGTTCAATGAGAGGTCCAAGAACATCACTATTCAGTTCCACCATGTCCGGGATTCCTTTCAGGACGGCCTCATATCTCTGAAATACCTCCCGTCCTCGGAGATGACTGCCGACATTCCCACCAAGCCACTTACCAGGGATATACATCAGAAGCATGTTAAGGCCTTGGGACTTCGTGGACCTCTACAATAGATCCTTTATTTTCTTGTCTATTATTTTTACTACTATTTTACCTTTTTTTTTTTTTTTTTTTACAGTTACCTTCTGTAGGCAGTACTCTTTTTCCCTATCACAAGCAGCATGATAGGTTTTTTTAATGAGGCTGGCCATATTCTTTGTTCTGACTTTATGCATGGGCATGAATAGTGAGAGGAAGGGTGGGAGTGTTGAGAATTACTCCTCTGAGTTGATGTGTCTCGAGAGAAGTGTCTAGGCTTCCTACTCACTATTGCATATGCTGGGTTGTACTGGGTGGTTCGTGGAAGTGTGTATTCTGTATCACTAGTCATGTGACTAGGTTTTGGCATGACTATATACCGTTCTTGTTTCGCTTAGCTAGCTGTAAGACTTAATCAACAATCTTCCGCTGCACAACAAAAACGTCCAATTCGTAACAATCTGGGTTAGTTTTGCATCTTATGGACCTGGATCCGGGCATTTCCTGCAGATTTGATTACCTGTTGTCCCTCTTCGCGGTCATGATGTATCACTCGGAGTTCGCCTGTTGGCGTCAATCCACTGCGGGATGTAGAAGGATAGCAACCTCACATAGTACTCGAGATACAAGTTGGCGCAGGCCAATCGAACGCTAAGTTACGCATGGAAAATTCCATCCATGGCCTTGGTAGCTGGTATGTAAACTTATTTCCTCCCAGAGTCCAAGCCCAGTGCAGAGAGGGTGTTACGGGAATCAAATTACTCGAGCATACGGTGGTGGGGTTTTGTTTTTTGATTGGATATCCGCTGCAGAGGTGGGCTCGTGGAAATTATTTTGTCGGGGGGTCACCCGAGGGAGGCCTAAGGCGCTAGGGTTGGTGTCGGGTTGATAAAGGGGAGCTTAGGGCTGGTGCTGGCCATCTTGATTGACTATATTTGCAAAAATTCGAATGCGTAGAGAAACCGGAGGTTTGGGGGTGGCAATTTTTGTGGTGATGCGGTGTATTTCGGTTGTTTACTTCAGATGAAGCGTGACAGGGGTAATAAGAGCCAGGGCGGATTTATTTCTGTGTTTCAAGAAGGATTGAGTCTAGCAATGGGGGCCGGGGGTCAGAGATGACAGAGGGCCGAATCTCCGGCGAAGTTAGAGGATACCGCGCTGATTTATCCTTCCTAGATGCTAGTGTGCATCCCTTATAAACCTCGGAAAAAATACACCCGGCTCCCGACACGATGTGATGGTCTCTGCAACCCCATAAGCAGTGTAATTTCTCAGCACAAATACCGCAAGCTGTCCTTCACCATCAAACCCATCCGCAGCCCTAAGGGTATCCTCAACCTCGCGGATCTATCGGCAGCATGAATGTAGCGAGTGTCACCTTTTTCGATCTGGAGCGCCGTGTACTGCTTTCCCCGTCAGCTCCTATGAGGAGTGTGTGTCGGGGACGATGGGGTAGACCTTTGCCTCAGGGGTAAAAGGTGGGGGACAGAACGTGGGACAGGGAGGGGAAGGATTCGGTTCGGCTGGTCGCGTATGATACGTGCTTCTTTGATAATATGTGTAAGATGACAAAAGAAGGGAAACACAATTCTAGGGGTATCGAGAGCAATATACCTGTTTTCTTTCAAATAAATGTGATTTTCCTTCGACCGGTTAATGTTTGTGACAGCGGGCGCTGAATGGGCTCCTGATGGGTATATTAACGTCCATCGTTCGTTCTCCCCATAAGCCTTCAAAAATCGAAATACTCGCCTTAGAGAGTACCCTGTTGTTCGCCTCCATGACAGAGGTTTGTGGTGGAGAATCTTCATTCGAAGAGCCATCTTGCCCAGAGGACGGATATACCACCCCGCCCGTGGAGGGTAGGTGTTGGAAATTTTTCCAAAATATCGTGGGTGTAAGGAGCTGGTGGGGCGTGGAAATGTGAGCATGTCCATCATATCACTCGGAGCTCTTATCGATAAGGAAATTGTTCCGTGATGGGTGGTTTTTTGGGAAGAAAAAGTGTCTTGGTACCAGGCTGCTTAAGATGGTTTGCTCTATCGTACCGGTATTATGATAATAGTTGTTACTTGGTGTTTTTAGCAGTGCGGTTCGCGTTCTAAAGAGTGGGATATCTGTATTCACGAAGCCATCCGTCTCTATTTTTTTATTTTCCCCCGATCCCCCGGAGACAAGAAGGCGGATTTTTAAAGCGCGAGAGTGGGACCCACGATGTTCTTGATATAGGCCTGGGATGTTGTATCACTAGAAATTTATGATGGGAGGTTCGAATAAACCGCGAAGGTTGGGTGGGAGCTTGTGATTCGAGTCATTTCTCCCTTGCCATGGCACTCGTGTCCCTTGTCACTTCCCTTTCGGTCCGGCCCTCCCCGGGTTTGGCCCGGATTTCTCTCTCCGTTTCCCCCTCCCCTCTTTATTTCCTTCTCTCCTCGCCTCCCGTTTTCGCCCCGCATCTCTGTGTAAAGACTTCCCCACAAACTTCAACCATTTTCATTAGGTTTATCGCTTTCAAATTAAGGTCAGTGACTTTCTTTTGTTAATTTTAAGAAAGAAATCCTCCCGGTTTTCTTTTTCTTTTTCTTTTTCTTTTTCTTTTTCGTGAGCTACACTAGGTTTCACTCAATCCCCCTCCGCCTCTCGCTTACCCAACCCCCCAAAAAAATACCCCCTGACCCCCCATCACTAAGCACCGTGTGGGCACTGGATAACAATTGACTAGCAATGGCAAACTACGACCAAGCCCCATTGAACACCCCAGTGTTTGTCAAGTACCCAAACACCTTGCAGTTTCCAGGTTTCAAGAAGGAGGCTCTTAAAATCCGCTCGCGCGAGCTTAGGGCCAAGGGCCACAAACTCGCTCTCCCTGCTAAGGCCGACTTTCGTGGAACCGTCAAAATCCACGGCGCCAATACCACTTTGGTCTTCCGCGACTGTAACAACCTCGCCAACGTGACTATTCAATCACGCAATAAAATCCTGCTTCGCCCCCCCGGAAATGGTGATGACAATGGAGTAGCTGAATTCCTTGCCGGAGTTCCCCTTGATAACCTTGCCCAGTCCGTTTTCGGGGCTAAGAAGGCCAAGTTCAGGACTTTGATTATTGCTGGAGAATTTGCCGGCAAAGGAATCCACAAGGGGACTGGGGTTTCCGGGTTGGAGAGGTTTTTTATGGTGTTCAACATCTGTGTTGATGACTTGTGGCAAGACATGGGTCGTCTCTCCGATGTCGCACTTCCCGGGTATCGCGTTTTCAACATCATGAACTATAAAACCTTTAAGGTAGCTATCAATTTGAACGCTGACACTGCCGCCGCCGAACGCCAGATGATGGAATACACCAAGGAGGTTGCTAATGTTTGCCCGGTCGCGAAAGCCCTTGGCGGGAGTGGTATTGGTGAGGGTATTGTTTGGACCATGCTTGTTCCCATCCGCCATCATCGCCCTAGCGTCCTTGGGTTTAAGACCAAATCCGACATCTTTCTGGCCACCGCCTACGCTCCCCGAGCTCCCCCGACCGCGCCTGTGACCCAAGAACCCAAGACTATCGTGGACGAGTTTGTAAGCTACGCCGTTGGCCAGCGTAGACTTGAGCAAGGCGTTGAGTACATGGCGGAAATGGGCATCCCGTTGAAGGCAGAGAATGTCAAGAGCTTCACTAGATGGGTTATCGATGATACCCTCAAAGAGGAGGCCGAGCAAATGAAGGTTACGAAAGCCCACCCTAGCTTGGTTTGTGTCAAGATTGGGAATCTAGCCAGGGATTGGTTTGATAAGTACCTCGAGAAGGTTAGTGTTGAGGGCAAGAAAGTCCAGGAGTAGGATTGTAAGTAGAGCTGCAGAGCTGTAGATTGTTACTTTTTTGTTTCGAATTTGGGCAGAGCTATCTTTTTTTTCTCTTTTTCTCTCTTGCTCTATCATTTCATCGGAATAGCTCCGTTAGGGAATAAAAAGCTCTTGGGGGAACATCCATATTTTCTGCTATTGTGATTGGGACCCGATTGTCTGCGCTTTCGATGTGGTGGTGTCTTTGTATTATAATATTATTATGTTATAATACAGTAGGGTGGCTCCGGTCACACTTGAGCCAGAATAGCCCCCCCTGGTTGGACGGGTTCGGTGACTCGCCTGGTCGATTCTCCCTGATGATACCTCCGAAAGGGAGACATCAAGCCCCTGCAATATCAGTCGAATTCTAGCGCTGTACCTCAAATTCGCGTTTACTAAGTGTTCCGCTGCCTCCACTGCGCTGGATAGGACAACGGAATCAGGAGAATATATCCAAACTATTATAGAAATCGAGCTTAGGGTTTACACTAATCGTAACAAGAGCGATAGGGGTCGGGGGTCATTACTACCCTCTACTAGGGGCGATTTCAAGTATGATATGATAGTGGACTGTGTTATGAGATAAGTTACACCCGAAAGCCCATTTCTCCTTCAAGCGGTAGGTGTAGCGCAGGAAGAAATCGGTGGGGGAAGCGGGCGACTAACCACGTCGCTCCGTATGGGAGTGTTCAATGTATCACTCTTTGTTATATTTAGGCTCAGTTTGGCACGCCAGGATTACTAGTAGACTAGGATTTGGACTTTAAGTCCCAACTTAAAATCCAATGTCCAAAGACTTTACGATCTGGACTTTAGAAATTAGCCATAGAAAACATGATAGGATTTAGATTTAGACTTTTATGATATCAATTTTTAGTGGTTTGTGTATCATATTAGATGTAAATCTTTAAGGATAAGGAGAATGGGGGAGCTATGATAATAGTTGAGTAGGGAAAGTAAAGAAAATAGGACTGTTGGTTCTTAGGGTTGGATTTCTGTGACTTATCATAGTTTTTCAGATCCAAAATCCTGATCCAATCCTGAAAAAGAAATCCTGGGTAATCCTGGTGCGCCAAACTCACCCTCAATGAATACGAATCATGGTAGCGGTACCATCACACCAGAAATATTAAAACCGATATTCTAAACGGTCGTCCTATCATTAGCCAGTTGAATGGTATCGTGATTATTCGAATATTCTAGAAATGTGCGATGTCGTTGAAATTACACTTTCTGGTATAGGGTTGGGCAAATCGCGGCAACTTGAGCCACCATCTTAGACAAGAGAGATGAAAAGTGCAAGCATCTTACTGCGAGACAGGTACTGTACCCCTACAAGTGCACTGTACTCGTACTAGTAATTGCTGTGCTAGTACAACTTCCTAAAACATTTATTCCTCAACGCAGGCAGAACGTGGTGTTTAACTAGTTAACCACAGCGAAGAATTTGAAGAAAGGAAAAAAACGAGAAAGGCGCAGGGATAAACCCACCCCTGGGAAGAACAAACTAGTGCGGGGATTTTTCTTCTTCTTTTTTTCTTCTTTTTTTCTTTTTTGAGTTTTGTAAGCAAGAGGGGGTTCGAGAACTACCGGTCAATTTAAGTGGGAAAAATCCGGTGAGTGCGAAACGAGTGATGGAATCTACTTAGTACCGTGCTAAAAAATACTGTAGAGTGGGGGTGGATGATTAAGCTACGGTAAGGTGAAACGAATATGCAAGGACCTGCCTTCAGCTACTTTGCACCGTACTCGTACAGTGCTATGATACAGTAATCATCAAAACCGGGGACCCGAAGATACACACCAGGGAGCCGGCTGGCTTTCTATCGTCTACCGAGTTCTCTATAACTAATAGACCTCCTCGCGGCAACGGTTCTACCCTACTACGATAGATTCGGGCTAGCGCGGGTATCGCTCTTGCTTCGGAGCCGTGTTTCGAAAGATGAGGGAACTTCAATGCCCTCGGCACTGCACGGGGTTAACAGTTGACCCCTTCGTGTGGGGATCAATCCGCCGGAAAGTTTTCCCTACTTCTTAGGCAGCACTCGAGTGTGCATCACTGGTTCCTGCGGTGAGGTGAGTAATCCATATGAGGGGATGTGTGCTGCGGGTAGACGGTTGAAATTCCCCCTCCGGGATAAGGGTACCGAGAAATCACGGCAGGTTCCGCCTTGGATTGGGACAAGAGAAGTAAACTTCGGCTTACCATGGGAGGTAATTATAACGACCTAGCGTGCTTGTATTCCTCCGGTATGATATTTGAGCACCGGTATACCGGTGTGGGAGGTTTTATGTTTTATTCCCTTAATTTGATGGTGTGTCGACCAAGAATGCACCTTGTGGCTACTATTGCGCTGTGACCTGACCGATAAACCGATGGATAGAGGAAGGGAAGTTGACTTGGAATCCAATTACAGTAAATAGATCAATACAGAGGAAGCAGAGAGGTTGAAGCTGAACCCGATTTGGATAGGGACGCACCGCTATCCAAATAGTTGTTGTTGTGTGGAGGTTGAGCTTGTCTAGCTAAGAAGACCAGCTCCTAGTTTAAATACCGTAAAAACTCGAATAGAAGAAAAATGTGCTTTGAAGTCTGTTTAAAGTGAGTCATGCCAAGAGGCCAGGATGGTCACGCCAATACAAATTACGAAACATGAGACATATAAAATGTAAAATTACATTTCTTTTTTAATCAATTTCACCAATAATATATTCCCCATCAAGCTTATCTTGAGCAATATGAGCAATAACCACCAACTTTTCATCCTGATCTCCTACCCCTTCATGATTCTCCACAACAACCCTACTGCTAACAGCTTCCCCTTGTGCCCATCCCTTGACCCCCTCAACCAACAAGGATATCTCAAGACTCTTGATAGAGATCTTGGAATCTCGACTTCCATCGATCGGAAGAGAAAGGCCAACAGTGGTAAAGACTCTTTCAACAACATGAGGGTGGTTGAGGGAAAACCTTTCCTAGGCCTCTCCGACCGCCCATATGCAGAGTACCCGCCTTCTTCCTACCATACTTCCCACAAGCCGTTTCCCATCCGACAATATTTTCTCCTCCCCTACCTCTGCCATATCAAATATTTCCTCAAGCACTTCCTATCCAATAAGTAAAGTTAGTTGCAAGTTTGATAAGTTCCCTCTTTCTCTTTAGTAGTTGATTTTTAGTGATACTAACCTTAAGAATATCTTTAAAGGGTCAGTTGATACATATATCGAGGGGCTATACAAGGTCAGTGTAGCCTCCTAGAATCATACTAACTGTGATATCATGCACATACCTAGTTTTCAAAACTGTAACGTGTTCGCAAGGGGCTAATCACATTGTCGGTAATAGATACGATAGTTGGCAGGTGGCTTGTTCTTCCAGAGAGGAGACGAGAGCTGAGAACTAAAGGAGGCTTTGAGGGTGTACTGAGGAACAAAGAAGTAACTGTTCAACCAAGTATATTGAAATACTGTATATCGAAGTCTGCCTCTTCTATCGTAGAAACAGGCGGTCTTTAAATACAAAAATCTGTTCATGTCTAGCATGAACGAAACTAATCAAAAGGTATTAATCAATACACTTTGGTAAAACTAATTAAGTATCAAAGCGATACTTAAAACAAAACATAAAACAAAACCAAGTATCAAAGCGATACTTAAAACAAAATATAAAATAAAACCAATAACCGAGTACCCATACCGGTTACATTCCCCGAAACAAAACAACTGTTTTAACAAACAAAACCTAATAATCATCAAAAGCGGAGTCTGAGATATCAAAGGCTTTAATTTCCGCCTATTCCTCTTCATTCTAAGTGTCACACCAGGTACACGAAGAAATCCTGAGAAAACATTTAGACTCAAAGAAATGTAAATCACAGTTGTCACAAATACCAAATTCATGCTGTACATCAACCTAAGAGTTGTTGCAATCAGGACAGTAGTCGATCCACAGGATCTCGAAGTAGTCTTCAAGTTGGATAACATCGTGGTTCAACAACAGTCCAACAATCTGTTGTTACAGCCTCACATTGAGTTCCACATAGTTTGACATCGTTATGGTATTTGGATGGTGATTGGTAATAAGACAAGGTTATCAAGAGCCTTTTCCATAGCCTGATTTTCCTCATCGCTACGTTCGAATTCCAATTCAAAGTATGGTGCCCAAAACCCATCGCTAGTTTGGAGTTCCACATGCCATTGCTCAGTCTCTGGAATCGTAGGTGTCCAGTACATGGTGATGTAATTGATGGTTGGGGGGAGGGATTCGTTTGGCATGTTGTCTTTCCACCAATCAATAACCATATCCATTGTGTGCTCTAGTCCTTCTAGTGGTTCTCAGCTGTTTTCGCTTGTTGGGTAACCTCTCCATTTAACAAGGAACTTATCATTTCCATACCAAAGATGCTGGTCTTGGATTTCTTCAACTTCCCATTCATCTTTCTTATCAATAATGATAGGGGCAGGCCGAGAGTGGGTTCTTCCAGGAAACTTGGAGTCATCATTTAGGCGGAATCATTTAATAGCAGCGGCATGGAAGGCTTTGGTATTACGGTGATACATGCGTCCATCCATTTGAACAGTGTAGTTTTCTGTATGCTCGTCATTGGATAAGACCTTGAAGGGTCCTCGCCATTAGGGTTGTAGTTTCTTGCTGCAACCAACATTGGTAATGAACATGTTTCCATGTACTATGAGCATATCACCTGGTAGAATAGGGGCATGTTTGCGTCGTTACTTCTGAGCAGTAGTGGTGCTTCGGAATCGGGTACCTTTAACAGCTTGAAAGTCATTATTCCAAATTGCTTGATGGCAGTTTAGGTGGTCCTCGGAAGCAGGGACTGAGGAGTTCTTAAATAGTGTTGTAGGTAGGAGAGGGTATTGGTGGCCAAAGATTGCCTTGTGTGGAGACATTCCTAAGGTATCCGAAAATCCAGCATTGATATATGTGGCGAGTTCAATGAGGACTGGTTCCCAGTTGGTTTGTCATTCATTGATCATGTTCCTAATTCCGGTCTTGACTTTGCGGATTTTTGGTTCTACTTGGTCATTAGTCTCAAGATGTCCAGGAGCCACCATAATATGGTTGATTCCGAGCGAGGTCAAGGTTTTCATCCAGAATCTGGCGGTGAAGTGGGGAT